AACCTACAAAGGATCTTGACTGTGAAGGATTTGACAAGGGATCAAATTGTGCCAATATTTCAAGCGAAGACGATCAAGTACTTTAAAATCCGGCATTCACTGGTTGCAGTAGATCGTAAGAAAACCGGAGTGTGCCGGACGTCTCTATGCCATCGTTTTTTATTTTTCGATCTCGCCACCGAAAGGATTCGATCACTTCTTGTTGATTCTTGATAGGAGGACTTCGTCAGAATACATCGAAGGAAGAAAAAAGGAACAAGCGAAACGAGACGGGAAACGATTGGGATGATTGGTGGCGATCAATGAAAACCGATGACCATTTTTGACGTTTTTCACAGAGAATGTATGTATACGTGAACATGTCGCTGAGATTCGCATTTGGAGTCTACGGAACCATCCACATTATATGATCTATATATCCACAGTTCCCTTTATACAGGCTGTTTCTTTATCCAGAAGATTTTCGAAACTGTTGTGTCCGGATTGCGAGGACTCGGCGATTGTTTTTAGAATTGGATGATATCACAAGCAATATATCATCTGATATGATGCGCAAAACACTAAATATGATAATCTAGTCAAACATATGCGCATTTAATCGCTGATCTTCGTACAAATAGAGTGATGGCCACAATTTATTGACTTCGAACCGATACGTTAAGAACACATCAATTTTAGACATCGAAAACATGACTCTTATACCACCCATATCACTGAGATGAGAGTTTCAATGAAGATTTGAACTTCTAACGATGAGATTTTTGTTCAACAAGCAGTAAGTGAGTTAAATAAAGAGCTAGTTTGATCACTAGCCGAGTTGCTGGTCAATGATATTTTGTTTGTCAATTGGTAGCTTTTTATCCATCACAAGTTTGTCTAAGTCAGGGTTTCTCAGCCAAGACTGCCCGTACCCTATGAAAGTTCCTGGTAGTACTTCAATTTGTTCATGTAAAAGTAAATAGTGCAGAGAATTGTCCCTATCCAAATACAGCCACAAGAACCTCAATCTTGACAAATCATCTACATCAACCCATTTATCTCTCATTTAAATTACATGTATCATTTGTTTGTTCATACTAACAATAGGATATTTCCATTATTTCATGGTTTTCTTCTTTAACGCGGTTTTACCTTTGTTGTTTGGTGCATTCCTTTGGCATCTGAACCTAGATGGCTGCTCTTGTTTTAGTTGCAATAATAGTATTAGTCCAA